CTCAACCGAAAGGTGACCGTCCTGAAAATCTGTTTATTAATTGATTTAACTTACTAAAAGAAAAAAAAGGATATCACAAGATAGAGCGTGAAAAGCTCTATAATCTACAATAAACTGACTTTCTTACAATAATCCGTTTTATATTGAAAATTGTCAGGATTCCGAGCCACTAATTGTTGACGCTTAAAAAAAAACAATTTTTTATTTCAAGATGAATTCTTTTTCTTTCTAACATTATTCCTTTGTTCGACCATTCGTTATTGTTTTCAATACCCACTCTTTACCCGAAACAATAAGAAATGGAATTGATTGTGTACCGAAAAACAATCTTGTCCGTAATAGCAAAAATTAGTCGAATAGAACTTCGTCTATTTTGACGAAAATATTGCAACTACATTAGAAGCTGTTTGTTCTAAATTGTGGACCTTTTTTCAAAACAAAAACTGTAATTATGAAATAAGCTGTCTTTTGTAGATTTTTACGCTGCATCTTATAGCCTATTTAGTTTTTTTTAATATAATGTGAAACAATGAATTGGAAAAAGAAACCTTTTTTTTTGTCCGAGGGAAAGTCATGAATTCTATATAGGCATAGATGCTAACGACATTGAATATCTTATTAAGTACAAATTATCAGTTAATAAAAACAGATTGTTTTCGGAAAATATCGAAAGCTTTTATATTATATTCGACGATTAAGTGTGCCTTTGTTTCTTGTGAAAAAGGAAAATTATGAATGATATTTGAATCCATTATCACTTACTATTGTGCCAAGCTTCATGTTCAAATACAAAAAGACACACAAATTAGGGTAGATTCATTCTTTGTAATCTTCTATTTTTTGTTATTATTATTGAAATAGTTTTGCTGATTTTCTTTTTTAAATTAATTATAGTTCTTTTTTCTTCTATTCGATGACAAAAATTTTTACATCCAACATAAAATATAAAAAAGACGAAAATGCTATTTTTCTATTTTTTATTTTTGAATAACAGAAAAAAACAAAAATGTTCATATGTATGAATTCGACGAATATACAACTATAATATTGAATAAAATATATTCACGGTTCAAACTCAATTGAATCAAGTGGATGTGTAGGTTTATCATGATTACGATCGATTGTTCTTGTATTTTCTCTATCATTTATGTTCATAGAACGTTTCATATTATTATAATGATCAATACGATGATTAGTCATTGTATTGTTAAAACGAGAAAAATGTTCATCAAAATATTGACTATCTTCATCATCTAATGTCGAACAGTTTTCCTCATCTTGATCTTATTGACCATAAACAAATGCATTTTGACTAGGTCGTTTTATTTGTGCACTTGTTGGTGGTGATGGAGCTGATGGACGTTTTATTAATGACATAGAACGATCACTCGTTGATGTATATGTAGCTGTTCGGTGTGCTATTGTTGTATTACATTGAAGTAAATCTTCATCAAGATCCATAACATTCGATATTATTGGTAAAATAGGACATTTATTAAGTGCTGGTAAATGTCCTCGTTGTGTTGGTGCAAAATGATAAAACATTTATTTTTTAGGTTGATTTTGTTTTGGTGATATAAGAATAGCTTCTGTATGAAAAAATATATTATTTATTGAATTGGAATTCGGTACAGCAATATCAGGTAATGGTGGATATTTTTTAACAGGTACATCAATATGATTAGGATCTGATGATGAACTATTTGGCATAATAAATGATTGTTCACGTATTATTTCACGAAAATCATCAATAGTTGAATGTGTAACAGGTACTCGAATTGTATTTGATAGAGAACATTGATGATGAGAAGGTGTGGGTATGGGTAATTTTTTTCTTTCCATCTGACACCCACACCCCATCCAGCACCCTCGAGAAAAATTCAAATTATGAAAACTTTAGGGGCTGCCCGGAGAGGTTTAGGGAGGTCCTGAGATATGCAACTCCCCCTGGAACTCACGACAGGGAGTCCCTGGAGGATTTCGTTGGGAAGAGTTGACTAGGGAGAGTTTATATATGCAAAAAAAAAGGAAAAAACAAAAGTTCATTGCACTGTACGAAAACAACGGAGGCATCTTTCTTCTTCATCATGTGATTCTGTAAAAAAAATACAAACGAAGAAAAATGATGACATAAAATTGTTCTCGATGATAGAAATCCAATAAAAACATATATACAGGGTGGCCCAAAAGTCACGCATCCAATAAAAAAAATTGAATATCTCAATTAAGGTTTGAGCAAATGGGCCAATTTTTTTGTCAACGATAGAGATATATTTAAGGTTTATATTCATCAAGACAAGCCTAGAGAGACCGTTCGTTAAATATCCCCAGTGATCTCAACAAAAAAATTCTACTTTTTCAAGATAATAGAAAAAAAACAATATACTTGACAAAAGCTCTCTCTAGATATGTCTTTATCGGTATAAAGCTTGAACATGCCTCTATCATTGATAAACAAAATCAGCTCGTTAGCTTATGTCGTAATCGAGATATTCCATTTTTATTCGGCAAAGTGACTTTTGTACCACTGTGTATATTGTTTTTTTTTTTATTTTGAAAAAGTGAAATTTTTTTGTTGAGATCACTGGTAATACTTAACGAACGGTCTCTCTAGGCTTGTCTTGATGAATATAAACCTTAATTGAGATATTCAATTTTTTTTATTGGGTACGTGACTTTTGGACCACTCTATACATTGTTTTTCGTCTTGTTTCATTAACAATATACAATATAAAACCATATACTTTTGTTCTATATGGATAGATTCGATAGTTTGATTATGACCAATGACATTGACACTATTCAAAGATCATGAAATTAACTTTTAGATGTTTCTTCGCAAAAATAAGCAACATTCATAGTTTACTAATGGTCTGAACTCATTAATCAATTCTAAGATTAATTATATTATATTTAAATAGATCTCAATTGAATACAAAATTTTCTCAGAAGATACTGTTGAGATTAATCTCAACTGAATTCTAGAACGCTTTATGTATATAAGAATTGTATTCTTTTCTTCGACGTCAAGAAAATTCTTTCATATTTTTTTTTTTCTTGTCCAAAAATCTGTTATTTTACTTAATATTATATATCAGACATTTGTTTATAAAATCTAATAATTATACTTTGATCTTTTGTATTAAAGTAATAACATATTCTCGGATGGAATCAATTGAATTTGTAACAAAGAGATATTTATTAATCATGAATAATAACAAAAAAAATTTTAAATAGTTTTATTAGAAGAGTTTTACAATTATACTCTATGAAAATTAAGAGAAGTGGTAGTTCTAATAGCTAATATGTTTGAACCAAATAAAATAGCATTATGAACTGTTGGTTCATATGAACGCTTTGCTTTCAATTTTCCATCTTTGCCAATATGTAAAAGGCTTGGTGTTTTATGATCGATTACAAGCCATTCATCACATGTAAGTGAACAAATACGATTGATTCGTCCATCCTGATATATTATATTAAGAGGAAGTGACCAAAGTTGATCGAATGTTGATGATGATAGAACTTCTATACGTAGTGTTTTATTGGATGTGTATTTATTGAATGGATATGATATTAATAAAGCAATTGTTCCATTATTATAAGTAATATTATGAATA